CACCGAGTTTCGCTTAAACTCTGGAGTTTGAGGTTCTGGGTTTCAGAAGGTTGTGCACTGTGAAGAGTCAGTATTAGTACAAGCATCTGAGAGAAGGAATCCAAAAATCTGTTTCTGATACCTGCACAAACCTCCGCTGCAGTCAAGGACTGTGAAGGTACCCCGAGAGCTGCCCCGCAGCTTCAGCAGAACACTCAGCCACCAGGCCGAGGTTCCAAGATCGGCTAACGAAACGCTAAGTACACGCGCATAATTTATCCATTTTGTTGGGGGTTATCACCTGTGGCTTTGGCACTCTTTAATGAGGCATAAGAAGAATTTTGCCTGGAGCATTCAGTAAGATACAAACTAAAAAGGCAGAGAGGCAGTGAAAGCAAAGCCCAACGTGCCAGGCAACTGACAGGCAAGAGGCAGACGTGAGAAAATAATACAACTGAGCTGTGAGTGCATCCCTGCTGAGCAACTTGGCCAGCACGTCTGTGATTCAGGGTGCAGAGTTACCAGAAGCCCGTCTGAGCTCACGGTCACTTCTGCCCTTGGCCCCCTACGTTCAGAGGAAGCACCCCCCTCACACTCATTTCCATCGCATCAGCCCTTGCGGCTGTGAGGCAAGGCAGAGGGGCACACTAACTCCACAACGCAAGGAAAAAAATGCAGGTTTCCAGCAGAATCTGTGAGCTGATCCGTGTCACCACGAGGCTCTACGACAGCAGAGCGGGCAGAGGAAAAATGGTGAGAAGGCACTGCCAGGGCAAGGGAGAGGCCAGGACTGTCCAAAGAAAGGCTGCAACTATTGCCCTGAGCTGATCACGAAATGATGAGGTCAGTTCTTTATGAAGTGGAGATAGCAACACTTCTCAGCGGGGGGGGGAGAAAAAAGACCTAATATTTCGATTGTACAGCTCAGAAAAAATACCTGGTCAAGTATGTCAGACAATAAAACTGAGCAAAAATTACTTTGATTTGGCTTCCACTAAGTAAACTAAAATTTAATACTTCTTTTAGAGGCTCTTTCTCAGAATAGGAGATTGTGAAGTACACATAATTCTTATTTTAAAACATTACTATTGAATCCTAAATAGCCTTCAGGTTTTAATAAACAACTTTTTCTCCCCCACAATTAATTTGCTCATTAATACAAGAACAACTAGTACCATTAACATTATAAAAAGGTTCACATTCCAGTGATCATTTCTTTGATCTAGAGCTTAAGCAACATACTGATACCCCTAGACAAATATTTAAGTAAATATATAAAGCAAAGTTTTTACTTCTCTTTTGTCCAAGAAATCCCTTATAAACTGTTTTGTGGTTGTTTTTGTGGGTTTTTTTAAATACATGTTAAACTAAGTCATGTAAATGTACAGGAAAGAAAATGCAAAGTATTACACATATACTGTGAAAGGTTCATATACATTTCATATTTTAAAAGTATATAGTCATGTTTTTGAAGTCTATTATAAAACATATACCTAAGGTTAGAATTCAGCTGGAATCTTACCTTCATGTATTTGCTTTTCAGTTTCATATTCATTTTCCTAAATTTTGTATTCTCAAAGTTTTAAATTATCTATCTCAAATAATTTCTTGAGCAACCTTTCTCATTCACCATGGAAAGTAAGCAGCAAAAATGTTATTATATGCTTATACTTCAGAAATGCATTTATTTGACCAAAAGTTAATTTGAGTGACAGTTTCTTCAGAACAGGTCTTAACAGCAGTATGGTGGGAAACAGTTCAAATCCTTCCCCTCTTCTCCTTTTAAACATACATAAATATGAGCATAGTAACGGTTGTGGTGACCTCAGTGCACTCATGTTATTAAGATGTATGTCTATATACATATATATGTATACAGTTCTACATAACTGAACAGTCATGATAAAAAAACCCTCCAAAGTACAAAACTATGGATCCATCGGCAAACCTTCAGCGATTGTATTTTCTACAAGATTTTTCTGCTTCTAAAATTTTACGAGATTAAGCAAGCATTATACTAATATACAAAGAGAAGGAAAGGAATTTTAAGTATATACAACCTGCTATATCCAAGTTTATTCTTAAGCATGATAAAAAAAAAATCTAATTACAAAAATCCATAAAAACTCCCAAGTTTAATTTTACTCATCTGTACTACTCAGAGGAGATCTCCTTCCAGCCCCACTCTAACTGGAGCTCTATACTTTCTCTACACTCTGCTAGACTGGTTCCAGACGGGCTTCTCATCTTTTATCTACCAAGGTAATTGCTTCATATCTGTATGGATCACCCATGAACCACTTCTTTACATCTAAGGTACGTAAGTACATTTTTTCAGGCAGGAGCAGCCCACAGGGTTCAGAGAGGGAAGGAACTGCCATCATCTGCAGTACCTGTACTGGAAATACACTGGCATTGTGTCTGCCCCTGTTACTATCTCCTGACCCGATCACGTTGCTCCCCAACCGAACTCCACCTGGAAAGGAATCCTGGAGTTACAACTACACAGTACCGACCCCAAAGGGTCCCCGTGCTAAAGAATGGGGAGCAGTGAGCCGGCAGCACGCAACACTGAGAGCTTCGATAAAATGCCCCGCTGACCTAACCCGCAGGACAGCTTCTGAAAACAGCAGACCTCTCCATCTGCTTCACGCTCTAACATACGAAATGAAATTAGTAACAACTTCAACTGAAGTTATTTCCCAGAGTATCCAAGGACTTAATTACAGCATTAGGCATATTTCAAGCAAATTCTTTCACTGGTAAATCTTGAAGTGCTTCACTTGCATTTCTTTCTTACGTCAAAAAAGATCGATCACTGTTTGTACTCACGAGCATTCATCCTTCTCCTTAGCATCTACAATAGGTCATCTGAAAGGGAAATAATAAATCCCAATCTGATCTATTGGTGTCCTACAGTTCCTTAGAGAAATTAGTGAAATTGGTTCAGATTTCAGCAGATCCTCCTACACTTCTTAAGGATCTCAAACTAGCATTGAGTAAAGGAACGGTGAAAGAATACTTGGTCCTCACAATAAAATACACACCAGAAATGTCCTTCAACTTCTACGGGGCTTTTAAAAGATTCTGTACTAAGAGAAACTGGGAAGTGCCCATCATACCTGGATTTAATGAGATTCAACGCCCTAACATCAAGGGGACTTGCGAAGTTCATCTTCAAGAGTTATAAAGTACACTTTGACAGCTGTAAATCAAGTAGTCAGCAAAAAAATATGTAGAGAAACAGCATCAAGCCTTGACGCTGGATTCCCAGAAATCAAAGAAGTTCACTGGTATACAGCAGTGAGAGACAAGTATCTGTCAGTAGCGAGACATTGAACTGTACAACTGACACCACTTCCAATTCAAACAAATCCTTCCTTGATTTCTTCCTTTTATTCAAATTGCATAAGGCATCTTTTTAACCAAATGATGTGCCAAGAGTGATGAAATAATAGCAGAGGAGAAAAGCAGCTTTTATACAAAGTAAGACTACACTAGCAGTGCCTTAAGTCAAGTGCTCTCCTTCATATTTATCTATAGTCACTCCTCAAAAAAAAAAAATTCTAGAATTCTAGTCTGGACCCCACAAAAGAAAATGAAGAGCACTGGACTTAGAGGCACAGAGTGGGTTTTGTCCAGTGTGAGAGGACCCTGCAAGAAAGCATGCTCTTAACAGGCAGCGCCGAGAAGTCACCGAAGTGCAGAGCTTCAAATGCTTTTCCCCTTCCTTCTAGAAATCCTCTTGAAACACTGTCACATTTTAAAGCAGGGCCTCAATAAACTGAGTGGCAGACTCTCTCTATTAACCCCCACCCTCCCACCAGAGGAAGGGAAAAGAAGGAAAAGGGAGAGAGACTTACAAATTTATTGAATATAAAAGTTTTACTAATAACACTGAAAATAACACACAAAACATTTCAGACACAGGCTTCAATGAAAACAATCTGAAGCTCTTAGTTATGAGCTTACAGCTGGAGGATTTTTATTATTAATTGTTTCTAAGCCAATATTTACAACTGCTTAAGTCTAGGCATAACTTAGCCTGAGGAGAATGAAACGTTCCTTGTGCTACCTCCACTTAAAATCTATACTCCTGCGGAATTATAAAGTACTTAGGGTTTTTGAACAGTTAATATGGAAACAGCACAAAAGCAAGCATTCTAAATAACAGTCCACAAATTCCTGTTTTCCGTGTCTTCTCTCATTTACACCTGATGCGTTTTTCTGCAGCAGATGGAAAATTTAGACTAAGCTTGTTTTCACAGGCTGATAACTGGAACGTTGAAGTATTCAGAGTAGAACTCCAGCACAGTTTTGCATCTCCTGTTGCCAAAACCACTTAAAAGACATTATGCTGAACATGAAAGGTTTTGTTCTTGATTTAGAAAAAAAAGAAAAATGGCCAACGCCAGGTTGGGTTTCTTTTTATTGTTAAAAGATTAAAACGTGACATTTCACCAAATACAAGAAATATAGGGGTTTTCTGACATTAAAACATGTGAATCATTGAGAGAAAGTGTTGAGCTATACACAGTCTGATGTTAATCCATCAATTTAACGTATGTTAGTACATGCTTAAAACATGGCCAAAACACAGAATCACAAAATAATTAACTTGATGCTTCTAAATCTGAGACAAGTAAGTCAGAGAATTGAGAGCAGTAAGTTTCCAACAAATGACTGTAGACTCAATTACAACCTCAGGGAACAATTATTCCAGAAGGATTGGTAGTTTCACATGCCTGGCTCATTCACATTCGATTTGGTGAGAATTTTAATTTTGAGAATTTGATAAAAACATTTTGAAAAATACAACATTTCACAAATGTGAAAAAACAAGTTCAGTCTTCACAGAAATATATGGATTGCTTGCCACTCCAGTCCTTAATTACCTGTATGTTTACAAATCTTTACAAAACTAATTTGTATCCATTTGGGTTTCAAAAACATAGTACATCTGAAAAATAAAATATGACTCTACTGATGGGTAATACAAAGACATGAACACGGATTTAAAATTACTTTCAGAGGTAAATCATTTAGTAATACAGCTATAAGACAAGTTAAACATAGTACAATAAACCATGCATCTTCTGACTTGTCAGATCAGCTAAACTACTCAGGTAACATACTGTAACACTTTTGAACACTTCCGCAAATTTCGCTTTTCTAGCTCAAGGAAAAAAACAGATTAAATTTGTTCTTCAAGTGGTTCAAGGCTGTCCAAGTGTTTTTTAGGTATATCATCACTATGACGGCTTTGGCAATGGGTTAAGTGTTTCTTAAAGCCTCGGGGAAAATTTGATTCAAAATTACAACGTGGACACTTCAACAAACTTTGACCATGAGCAGCAACATGGTTTTTGAGAAGAGACTCCAAGAGAAAAGCTTTGCCACATATTTTACATTTGTATGGACTTTGAACATTATGCTTGTTAACTAAATGGTGCAAGACGGCACCCTTTTTCATTGCGCGACAGCAACAAATTTTGCAATAATACTTTCCCTTGCCACGCTTCATATATTTTGCTATTTCTTCCTCAGAGATGAAAGCCTCTTTCTCTTCGGTAAACTGCAGCACACACTGCGGCTGCATGGGGGTAGCTGCATCTATTTTGCTCTCTTTGCCGTAATCAGATGACTCCATATCATATTGCTCTTGGTCACTGTTGGATTCTTGCTCCTTTATCTCCATCGAGTCCATCTCTGTTTTTCCACACTCGCTGCTATTTAGTTCAGAATCTGAGTTCTCCTGGTTCTCCTTCCTGGGCTTCTTTTTTGGGCAAGAATATAACATGTCTTCCGGTGATTCTTTGGCTAATATTGACGGTTCATCCTGTGAGAATAAATCATCCAGTGGTTTCTGATCATCTAAACTGTGAGAAAGAAAGTCACTCTCACCAGACTCACTAGGTGTCTGGGGCTCTGAAGAAAAGCCTGGAGCAGACTTGTGAGGCTCGGAAAACAGGATGTTCTTCTGGATTTCAGAAGATACAGTAGTTTCAGCGTGTCTCTGGACATCAGAGGATAAAGCAGCAGCAGGTTTCTGCATCTCAGAAAATACAGCATGCTTTTGGACATCAGAGGAAACAGCAGATCTCTGGGAGTCAGTAAAAAGAGCTGGCTTGGGGGTCTCAGGAGAAACAGGAGGAGTAGGTTTCTGGGACTCAGTAAAGAGGCCAGGTTTCTGAATTTCAGGAGAAGCAGATTTCTGAGACTCTGGAAAGGAAGTAGGCTCCTGAACTTCAGAGCAAATTGGAGCGAGTTTCTGGGCTTCAGAAAATAGGGCATGCTTCTGGACTTCACAAGAAACATGAGCTAATTTCTGGGCTTCAGAAGACAGGGCATGTTTTTGGCTTTCAGTAGAAACAGCAGAAGTAGACACCTGATTCTGGGGCTCAGGAAAGACACCACGTTTCTGGACATCAGCAGAAACAGTAGGATTAGATTTACGAGACTCCGGAAACAGAGCTCTTTTCCGAGGTTCAGAGAAATGAGCCCGTTTCTGAACCTCAGAAGAAGCAGCAGCGGTGGATTTCTGAGTTTCAGAAAAAAACATAGATTTCCGGGACTCAGAGAGTTTCCAAGATTCAGGAGATACCGAAGCACCAGGCTTACGGACCTCAGGAAAGAAAGAAGGCTTCCACGAGTCAGAGGAAACGGTGTGACTAGACTTCCGAAGCTCAGGAGAAACAGGGGGAGAATGCTTCCACGTGTCAGGGGACAGAACAGGTTTCCAGCCTTCAGGGTAAACAGATGAGATGGGTTTCCATGGCTCAGAAGAAACAAGAGTAGACTTCTGGGATTCAGAAAAGGATGTAGATTTCCACGAGTCAGAAACGAGCCTCCTGGGCTCTGGCGACACGACGGAGCCAGGCCTTCGGGACTCAGGGGCAGACCTCCGGGATTCTGCGGACACCGACATGGCAGACTTTGGACCCCAGGGAGAAACTGCGGAAGACTTCTGCACCTCGTGAGGTGTAGATCTCCAGGGCTCAGGGGAAACAGTCGGACCAGGTCTCCACGACTCCGGCGAAACGGCAGGAGCAGGCCTCCGGGTTTCAGGAGAAGAAGCAGAAGCAGGCCTACGCATCTGAGAAGGATGCCTCCGGGGCTCAGGAGACCCAGCCGGGGCATACCTTCGCGGTTCAGGCGATACTGCCGGAGGAGGTTTCTTTGGCTCTGGTGACACGGCTGGGGTGTATCTGCGGGGCTCTGGAGACACAGCGGGGGAATGGCGACGGGGCTCTGGTGATACAGCGGGGGAATGGCGACGGGGCTCTGGTGATACAGCGGGGGAATGGCGACGGGGGTCTCCGCGGGGCTCTGGAGACGCAGCTGCAGCTGGCTTCTGCGGGTCGGGGGACACAGCAGGGGACGGCTTCTGTGGGTCGGGGGACACAGCAGGAGACGGAGTCTCTGAGCCTGGGGATACAGCTGAGGCTACCTCCTCTGGATCTGGAGATGTGGCCTGGGATGACTTTTCTGGATCTGGGGACGTGGCCTGGGCTGACTTCTCTGGCTCTGAAGAAGTCGCCGGGGCCGACTTCTGGGGCTCTGGAGACACCGCAGATTTCTGAAGATTGGGGGAAACAACAGGTTCAGATTTGGGGAGTTCAGGAGAAAGGGCAGGTTTGCGCGACTCGGGGGAAAGGGTAGGTTTCTGTGGCTCTAATGCAACACTTTTTTTGGAGGAATCTGAATCTCTTTCTACCTGTTCTTTCCGCTCCTCGTTCCACTTCTCAGGTGCTGCATGTTGTGCTGTGATGTGATAGTATACATTGCAATACATCTTGCTGGTAAAGAAACATTTGTGGCAGTGAAACAGTTTTGCACTTTTTTGATAAAATATAAGTTTACCCAAACCAGCAGCATCCATTTCATCACAATACTCTGGGTGTATGGTACCCATATGAATTTGTATGTTTTCATAGTCCGTTCCTCTGAAGCTGCAGTGATCGCACTCTAAGTGCTCTGTGGTTTTACGTAGTATCTGCAACATGTCCATTTTCCTATGGTCAGTAACAGTTTTCACAGCACTGCACCTTCTAAAGAGCAAACTTCAGTTCCTGCAATAAAGGAAAAAAATTTCTATAGTTAGCTGTCAGTGTTAATTTCCACTCCTTGTCATTCCTAAATAACAACATGTGCTTTTCCCCACTCCATTTTAGAAAGCATGTCTTCTGCATAGGTACTCATTCATAAAGAAATCCAAACATAGGTCTCTCCAACATCTGCAAATCATTTTACATCAGTAGAACTTGAGAAACAAAGCTTATATTTAACAACAGGTCTTCCTATCTATGGTAAAAAAATCTGCAACCAAATGATAAAAAAAGAAGCCAACTGATAAAGAGCTAAGTTTATGTTTGCTTTGATAAATGTGACTTGCTTTCTCAGTTGTCTTTTCTTCCCAGGTTTGAAGTAGTTTTTTTTACATAAGTAAACTGAAAACAGAACATACTTTGAAACAGTGCTACTGAGATAAAGCCATTTTAAAACTACATCTTCATTATAAAACCTCAAAACAAATTAGCTGATGACAAAGACAAAAAAAAAATTCAAGAAGAAAACAGAAGCCTAGGCTCTGTTTTCACCTGTTAAACACTGTTTTCCCTCCACTAATTACATGAAAAACAAAAGCTGCTGCTCATAAAGAATTTATCCATTATGAAAAGAATTTTTTCCATTCCATTATTTCATCTTCTGCCCTAATAGCAACAAAAATACTACTTAAAAAAACCAGCAGTGACTTCTTTTTCCAGCTGGTATAGCAGACAGCCCTCTGTATTCAAAACATTGTTTGCCTCACCTCAAACAGAAAGATTGAAATTTCTCAAAAATGCGGGTTTTGTAAGACCTTAAAAACGAAACAAAACAAACAAAATCCAAAACCAAACAACTGCCCCCCCGAAATGCACCATCTGAAATGCAAATAATTTTTAATGATTTGGCTAGATTCCACCATTTCCAACAGAATTTACTCAGATTAGCTACTACAACAAGCAGAAAGCCAATTCTAACCATATTCTGTAAGTCATTTTCACGTAAATGTGGGAGGTATCTCTATAGTTCAAAGGAATATTTGGACATTTATGTGAAATGCACAGCATTTTTTCTTGTGGTTCAAATTAAACAGATGTTACATGATTATCATGCTAAGCTACCAACTTCATTTTGGGGGTCTTGTAAGACACACTGTTTCAAAACACACACATTTTAACATTAATTTTCCTGTCTAAATACAAATTAGACTAACAACTAATCTAAAAACATGCATCCAAAGCAAGTTTTCCTGATTTATTCCTAAAGCATTTTTACCCTGGTTTCTCATGGAAATGAGGCTTACACAAACACATTGCCCTACAGTCAATGTCAATCAAATTGGACAAAGCAATCCAGTCTCATTTTAAATTTCTACAAGCTTCGGGAAAATCAGGAACTGAGTACAGAATGAAAGAAAAGCCTCCACTGAGGCTAAGGCTGAATATTTCACTTAACAGTTACTGGCTCTGTTCAGCCCGTAATCAGTGCACAAATGCTCAGTATGCAAATAGTCTTAAAACCTGCAGAACAAGCAGTGTCTGATTCAGCTTGTAATTAGGGGAAAAGAGAAGGAATTAAAAATACTACAGTGGTGAGCTGCTTTGGGTTTGGGGCAGGGACAGAATGAAAGTAAATTAGCAGTGCTGCTAAAGGATGACATGGATACAGAAAAAAAACCCCACACAATAAAACACAAAAAAACCAAACCAGGAAAGGGGGATTGGGTGAGGAGCAGAGGGCACAAATCCCTAAGAAAGAAAGGTTCACTAGCTCAGCTGCTCATGGAGCAACTTTGCACGCGCTATGCATACGCACTTCACATTAAGTCACAGGAATATCTACATTTCCAATCAGGAAGCACATCGGGACCACAGACAGAGCTTTAAGAGGGATCCTGCTTTACATCTCTGAGACAGATGAACAGCATCTGACCATGGGCTAGCTACACAGGAGAATTAATGGCACTGCTCTACAAATACTGAAGTGGAAGGACCTTTTGGATATAAATTGCAGTCTCCCAGCTTTATTAGCAGCCATACAAGACAACTCAAAACGTAGTCCACACTGCATTCGTTGACCACAAAATACTTCCCAACACCTTACAACAAACTTTATATCCCTGTAAAAGATCAAAACAGAAACGTAACAGCAGTGCTCAGTGGTCTGTATCTCTGCAACAGCAAACAACTTGTCAATTGAAAAAACCCAGAGAAAGTCATGTCTTAACACTCCAAATGACTTAAAAGTTTTTAGGAATTAGGGTTTATTTTTCGATTGTGGGATTTGGAGAGATGGGAAGAAAGGAAGATTTCAATTTCAAAGCAAAAAATTCTGAACTGATCATACGAGCTAAAGAAAAAATAATTTTTTTTTAACCAAATCACAGCAAAACACAATTAGGACAATAAGGACATACTGCACTAACCACATTTTCAGAACTGTAAAGGAATTTGTCACTTCAAAAATTGGTAGTAATCCTGAATTGTCAGTTTTCTTTTCTCTAGAAAACCAAAAGGTGCTTTTCCAAACTGAATTTATCATAGCTTACAACAAAGTTTACCAATCTCTTCTACCCTTTTCATAATTTCCCTCGTCTTTACGGATCACCTAACTGTTGCCCTTTCTGGAGTTTTCTGTTGCTCACTCCTCTGAACTACACTTCACCCCATCTTCCACCCTCTCATTTTATTCAGTCCTATCTTACTTTACGAAGGAAATTTCCATTTTTTTCTCCAAATGCAACACTGAGAAAAGGTCCCTGGCTCCTTTCCACAAATTGTCCAAGTTGCTGCTAAGTTTTTTTGTCCAGGACGTTATTCTGGAACTGAAGAAGTTACAAGCACTTCCTCATTTTCATCTCCAGACATTTAAAGGTTGACATTCAAGCCTTAGCCATAAGAAATAACATTGAAGAGGTGGCAGTACTTACTCTCACACTGCCATCACTCACCATTTTTAATTTTATAACTTCAGTACGCTGTAGCTGGCACTTAAGAAAGTGCCTCTTCTGCTGAACTCGCTACTTAATTGAGGCATACTACTGAGCAAGACAACTCTTTGGTATTGCAGCACCTCAGGCCATGACTCCATGGAATAGTTAGTCTAGTTTTAGAATTAGAGTGAGACTAGTAACAAACTTGAACAGTGCTGAACCACTATTAACTCATGTTGTCACTTTAAATTTGCTGAAACGCTTTGGAAGGAGTAGACTCTGAAATGTTGCTGACTTCCTCAGCACATGTCTGAATAGCTACTCCACAAGCTTTTCCTGCCCATCTCTCCGGACCCCTTCTCACTTTGAGGTCAGACGCCACTGTCTCTACACAGCTCTGATTACTGCCCTCTAAACCCAGGTTTGTCACACAGATAACTGCCTGCTTCTCATTTCTCCTTGCTGTCAGCTCCTTCATCAGAACTTGTTGTGTGCTGGATCCTGCCTTGCCTAGTTGGGTGAAAGTTCGAGGAACAGCACGTCACTGTTTTCTAAGCAGTCCCAAGCCAGCAGAGCCAGCCAGGCTAGAAACCTTATGCTCAATAACCAGGTCCCCACAGATCTAGACCTGCATGAACTGTGATGTAATCTGTGCTCAGCAGCATCTTTTTGGCAACACTAAAAATGATGGACCACGCTCCCTTTGTGTCAATGCTTGATTACAGATCAAAGTGACCTAGCTCTGCGCTGCTCCAACTCAGACCCACAAAAAGGGTAAGGAAAATGACTGGTGCTATCCAACTGGCAGGGTGCCCCGTGTGCACTGCAGAGAACTTGACCAAATACTAAACCCAAGCATCATTCTAGTCGTCTGAAGCCCTTCGAGGAAAAGTATGAATTTCAAGACGAAGATCGAGCTGTCATGAGAGACAGGTCCCCCATGAAACCCAGCGCCAGAGAGATGGCTGCTAGAGCATCTCTCCAGCCTGCCCGAAGACTCCTAGGAGAGACAAACCAGTGCAGATAACTGCTGCGCAGGCCCCAGGCCACTCTGTTTTGTTGAACACTCAGCCAGGCCCTACCTCGTCTGTGAAAGGGACACTTCAGCACTGCCCCTACTCAAACCCACAGTTACAGGACGTGCCATGCCACAGCAGCTACAGCTGAGGCTGTGCTGCAGGCCACTTCAAGATGACAAAGCGCACCGCATTCGTTAACCACTATTTCTGAATCCTCTCCTACTTGTCTCACTTTTCGTGACTGAAACACTGAGAAAACAGATACAGCCAAACAGAACTAATTAGCTATTCTGAGAACACATTACAATTGAAGCAGAAGCCTGAAGCACAGCATTTACACTTGTCTTGTGCCTGCATCCTGTCTCCACTTCAAGATGAAGTACTAAGATTCAACTAAGATTCTGGAGTTTGTAATACTAAACTTTAGCTTAGGGCAGCCAAGACTTGTTCAGAGTCTTCCTGAGACATAAAGATTGCCACTGAAATCTACCTGAACAGTTAAGTGCTTCTGTCTACAAGCTCACTATACCCACAGATATCAAGCACAGTAACAGCATCAGCACCAGCTCAACTCTTTGCTTGACTAAAGGTTTTTGCTGACCTGAAGTGACATACATCAATGTCCATCACTCAGGTTAAAAGCTGCATGAAGACAGGCAGAGATCTCAGCAGTGGGACCACCAGTCTCTACTGCTGCTCCATCAGCCACCTCTCCCATCCCCCTTCTTTCATGCATGTCTAGAACGTACACACAAAGGTTCCTACCACCAGCTCTCTCCTCTCTCCACAGAGATGCTGAAGATCCTTACACCAGTTCCTGTCCCCTACACTGCAGTTCTGGCCATAATCTCCTCCACCACATTCCTGTTCTTCCGAACAGAAAAACACCAGGGTAAAAGGATTGGTAATGAGGACCCGCATCTACCCAAGACAACCACCATCACTACTTCTCATGCTTGGTTCTCAGCATCCAAAGAGGCCAAAGTCATGATTTGGCAGAAAGAAAAAGTACCCAGGAAGTCAGAGGCAATGAGATAACTGAA